GTCTTGGGGATGGGAAAATAAGGGAGACCTCTCTGGACTGGGGTGATAAGGGAGCCCTTCATGGGGGAACCGATAACTGGGTGCGATAGCGGAGCCCAGCCGAAGTCTCCGCTGCAGCCGTTTGCCAGCCACAGCCCCAGCCAGCTTCCCAACTATTGAACAGTGCGCTCAGCCATGCACAAACACACACACATACATACACATGCATGCACCCTCCTTCCTCTCCAGTACATATCTGGCCTTCATTGATATGCTATATAAGGAAAAGACGGGGTGAGTTAAAGGGAGGAAAGAGGGAGAAGCAAAGAAATGGCAAGGAGAAAAAAAAAACACAAGAACTGACACAGTTCACAAATCCATAACAGACGCACACAAATGCTTACACACCAGCAGTGTGGCGTTTGTAACCGGATTCAGAAGGTTTTTATTTAAGGTTTGGCCTGGGGTAAAGCCTTGTTAAGACATGAGACACTGCACAGAGCCAAAAGAGGCGCCTTGACTCAGTTAAGATACAGTAACTGAAACTGGAGAATTGCTTACCATGTATAATATGAAATCATATCCTGATGCATGCTCAATAATCCAGGTAGAAAAATCCAAAAAAGTTCAATCTGGTCCTCTGGACATTCAAAAAAACAAAAAACAAAACAAAGCAAAAAAATATAGAAACGTTTCGTCTCTCATCCGAGAGACTTCCTCAATCTGAGGTGCTGTATTCAGCTCAGTCTCTTAAATAGCACCTTCTCAGAGTGGATCAACCAGTTTTGCTGCTGACAACCAAAACCAGCTGATCACATGCTCAAGAAGGGCCATCAGCCTAACAATGGATCATTAGCACCCTGATGGCTGTTTACTATTCACAGAGGGCTGAGTGATACTAGCAATCACAACATTGTAAGAGGGGGACAATTGAACACGTAGGCCTCCACCCCTGTTTAACGATGGACGATTTCTTTTCACAAAGATGGCCTCCTTTACTCCTCTCTCAAACCATCGTTCCTCTCTATCCAGGATGTGAACATCTTCATCCCTGAAAGAGTGACCGCTGGCCTGGAGATGAGTGTAGACCGCAGAGTCCTGGCCTGATGATGTTGATCTTCTGTGCTGGGCCATCCTTTTGGCCAGTGGCTGTTTTGTTTCCCCGATGTAAGACTGATCACAGCCCTCCTGACACTGAACAGCATACACAACATTACTCTGTTTGTGCCGGGGGACTGGATCTTTGGGATGAACCAGTCTTTGCCGTAATATATTTTGGGGTTTAAAAGCCACTGGGATGTTATGTTTAGAAAATAAACGTCTCAGTTTCTCTGATGCTCCCTCAACATATGGAATGACCACTGGGTCTGGGTTCCTCCTTTTCACCTGTTGGCTGACTGGAGTCCTGTTTGGGTTTCTTCTCTGCTTTCAAGAAGGCCCAGTTAGGATATCCACATTGCTCTAGAGCCTGTCTTGTGTGGGATTTCTCCTTCT